TATTAAACATCCCTACAACTAAACATTCGCATTAATAATATTATTAAGATTTTATTAACTCAATAACACTAACTATATAGTTAATATTGTGAATTAACGTTTAAATAGAATTAACCAGGACTTTGTACTTAGTTTAAAGTAATAAAGTCGGCGACCGCAACGTTAACTTATTTAAGCTAACGACTCTTTTGATACATAACTTTTTAAAGTAATTACTAGAGTTCTACAAGGTCTTCCATTATGAACATTACAACATCTGAGATATATAAAAAAAGAAAATATTTACGTATAAATATAGTAGCAATTGCTTGAAAACTTTAATCAAATCCTGTGAAACATAACTAAGGTGCAATTATTCATTACCAAACTAATTAATCATCTAATCCAAACATTTAGCGAAAGCCTCCAGTGCTCGTAATAATGCAATAATGCCTTTAGTCTCCTGCCACAACATTCCTCAATTAAACTAATTATTAACGTTTACTTAATCCGTATCCATATACCTAAGTATCACCAAATACACAACTATCCAATGAAGTTGACCGACATATAAAATTAATCTTTAACACTAGTCCTGAAGATTTGTTCTACTACAACACATAGGATATTGATTAGCAACAAATACTAAACTTAATAACTTACCCTAGGTAGCTAAATATTTCTTTACTTTTACCTTACACTTATAATTTTATTTTAATGTAATTTATATTGATTTAGAAAATAAATTAACTACTTAAAATAACTTTGTAACAAAAAGTAACTACCATCAATTTGTTAACCTTCTGACAAAAAAGACAGAAATTAATGAATGAATTAAGAATTATTAGGCGCATTGTAAAAATTTTAGGTTACAATATTAGTAAAACTAATTAAAAGTTATGTCAAAATGCAACGTGAAGGTTTTGCCAGTGTGTTGCAACAAAAACCAAAAGGCAGAGACAACAAAATCTACGATATAATATCGCTATCTTCATGAATATATCATACCGTGCATTATGGTATACGGGGACGTGGAGATAAGCATTCAAAGTGAGGTTAGTTACCCCGCAAGGCTGCGGGCGTGTAGGTACACGAAGTGGAGCGTAGGCTTCCATTGAGGCGCGTGCAGTCTCGGTCAGTAAACAGCCCTTTCATAACATGCGTGTCACCAGGTACCCCACTCAGATGTAACGAGCGTACGCATTGTTTCAAATCTACATAGTAAACGGTTTTTTGAATTTACTCTTAGAAATATTATTTCTGCTTCTGTGAACCATGAACCATGAGTGCATTATTTAATTATTTTGATAATTGAAAAAGGTGACATATGATAATTGTACCTCCTAGATTTCATTTTTTTATGAAAGTTTAAAAGTAAACGTAAATATGTCACATGCAAAATTATTGCATATGACTTGGCGATGGAAAAACATAATATTCCATGTTCCTAGAATAAACAATAATAACATACAACACGACAAAATGTCACATATAACAACAGGTAACAAGTAACGGTCACACCGGGAACCGGAAGGGAATCCCACTTTCACGTTCATCGCGCTCACTGGGCCATTGCCAACACATGTCGACGAGTTTATTTCACTATTTCTTATCTATAATATGTTGCTTTCAATATTAAATGAATAAAATTCAACACAAAAGTACTAGCGGCCATTAGGAGTCAAGAAGACCGAAGTTAAAGTATTACTGCCAGTTAGACAACCCTAGAAAGAGTAAATACAATCTTTAGTACCTCTGGAGACAGAGTCCTAAGGATCTGTAAATTTGTAAAGTTGTCGTTTACAATGTGCATGACTTATTTGATTTATGTAGGATTTTATACTACCAATTCTATCCATATTGCTTTGGCATCTGAGGAATGCGGGAAATTCCATGAAAGAAATTATTATGCGATAGAAATACAGCAGAACAATGCACAATCTCCGAGCGTAAGGCATATTAAAAATATCTGAGAAACGAGGAATATTTCAACGTGTATACGATGAGAGCTCCTTGCAACATCAGAAACTTTTATCTATTCAGAAATAGCTAAACAGAAAAATTTTAAACCATGAAAAATGTCGTGAAACTGTCCTCTGTTTCAATTAATTGAAATATAGAATTGCTTAATGAATTCAAGTGAAAACCAATTGAATGGCACACTCAAGTGAAAAATTTGAATAGAATCATACCTCACTCGTAAAAATCTGTTTAGGAGTGAAGCCCAGGAAATCAAATTAAAAATTTAGTCCCGTATAAAACATACGGCCTAAAATATAAGCCTTCTGAGTTAGTGGGTATAAAAAGATATTTTGTTTTTAAAATTAATTTACATTACGTTCATCGTATACAGTAGGAATTATAACCCTGGTGCCCTCGCAATTCAGGCAATCCCCAAATATAATTAAAGTTTACCCGTTTGTGTAGCTTTGAGTATTGTCGCTCGCGAATCCTTTAATAGAAAATTTTCGTCCAATTTCAATTCGGTCGTACCCAATTCAATTATTTACCCAAACATTAACAGATGAACTTCAAATAAATAAAATGTTATCTAGCATCTTTGATATCAATGAGCTATCGAGTACGATGCCCAAGAATATACTGATAAATGACCAGAATAAAAGACTGAACTCTGACCTCAATAAATATTTTTTAATCTTACAAATCAATTTAAAACTCCATAAATCCTAAAGCCCCTACAAAACGCAGGAATCCGATGGAGATAATTCGACATGGTACCTAATAATAAGCTAAAAATACTTCAGCTCTTCAACATTTTCTTTCTAATTAAAGTCTCTTATCTTTTGGGAACTTTGACAGCCTTCGATGATAACGCACATCGCTGTCTGAAAACGGAAGTGTTTCTATTAAGACGTTGCCTTTGCCAAAACTCTGTCAAAGTTTATTGTATGCGTGTGTACCAACTTGACAGCCTACAAAGTGAGAAGACCACATTCATACAAGAAAATATTCTATTTCCTTGTAGACGACATAAAAAACTCACGACCATACAAGATTACACAACTTAAGTCTCTAAAGCTACTTTAGACAAGAGTAAGTTCTGGCATATATTGATTATGTTATATACTTCTAAGTACAATATCGGTGTTCGAGGGAATCACTTCACATATAAGTTGTTCTCAACACGGATGTAAGTCCTTGAAGAACACCTGACAAAGCCTTTTTATTCAGAAGATACTTGATTATGACGTCACTGTGCGATAATGCTTTATCGATGGATATGAACAATATCCTTCCTGTTCCTGCCACTGCAGTATTCATATTTAAATATCTAAATAAGTTATGCTGAAACATATTTCGGTGCGGTTGTTTTGTCTAATAGCTATAAAAATTTAGCAGGCGCTTACAAGTCTGGCAAAGAGAAACATACAAATAGCAATATCCAAAGTTCTGATATTTATTATGAATTTAAGAATTAGGTTTTAAAAATACTAACAAACCCAGTTTAAAAAAAGAAAACTATTTTAATGAGGCAGGATAAAACAAAAACAAAGCTCTTTCGTAATTATAGAGCGGCCACGGAAGTCAGCTGGAATGGTGTAAGCTCTCTGGAAATTAATTTAAAAAACCCTTTCAGCTTTTATTTTTCAAAAATATTAACCATACAACCAAAAATACCTGAATTCATTAACAATAATGAAGTAAAACACACAACATCAGTATCGTCATATTAGGTTTGGATTATGAATGGACAAACATGTATTATTTTTTTTTATTCTTAGTTGGATCCATTAAAGTATTTACATAACGCTCATTTCAATTTGCCATTTGCATAATTTTTTGCTTGTTTAAAATAACACTGCATCTGACCTATTTTGTGAGCCTTGCGAAGTATTCAGGTTAGTGCCTGGTCTTCACGGAGATGGTATGCGGGAAACACAAATCTATAGACGCCGAAGCATTTGCAGCGTTAAGTTAATAGTTGCTCTATTTATTTACTTATTTCGTTGAATGCCTTTCGCCGATCTTTTAGTCGGAGGTTTAGAGTAAAATATTAAATACAAACTAATGAATAACCATAATCATAAACGTGGAAAAGCTTTTTATTTATCTTTATTCTCATATCGAATGGATATCGCTATCTTGTAAAATTACAAAAAAGGGAAGTATTTTGAGACGATCACTTTCCATGTAATAAAGTCTAATGGTTTTTTAACACGTTATGTAAAAACAAATCTGTTAAAAATTTACGTAAAATGAAAAAAATATAATGACCTGAACGTTATAACTTTGGTATTGTTTAAATGGCGCATCCTAATAATAAATTTAAAAAAAAAATTGTTCAGTTTCCGAAAGTTTGTCACCCATCAATAGAGAAAGAAGATTATAGAAATTATAGCATTAAGTTTGTTATTTTCTTTCTGTCGTAGGTATACTGAGTAGGTCGTCAGTTACCCGTACTCGTGTGATCAGCGAACAGTTCGAGCGACGGTAAAAAGTAATTTGTAGGTGAGTGCACACCGGCGGGCAAAGGCTGCGGAGTGCTGCAATTAGTTGCTTCCATGTGTGCACCCGTGAGCTGTTAAGGATTTACACGAACAAACTATTGCTTTTTAATATTACTTGACATAGGATCTACAGATTTTCTAGTCGTAAATTGTGCAACACTATAAATTGATACATTCATCTTACAATAACATGCATTTTGTAGCTTCCTTTATTGTCCATGAAAACAAAACTTAGTAGACTTGCGCTGTCTTCTATTAGGAACGAGATCACACAGGAACTGAAAGTGGTTTAGATTGATAGATCTTATTTAATTCTTATTGTAAGTTTTAAAATAGAGAGAAACGTAATAGATAAGAGGTTCTAAGGAGTATCATTGCTGCTACTCTTGCATTCACAAGAACGATTAATTCCTATCACGGCCATTTTACTTTAAATCTAAAGATTCTCAGTTACACTATAGGAAATTGTAAAAATGCAATTAAGTTTCAAAGAGAAAGAGTTTCTGATGCAAGTCATCTCAATAACGCTCAGAAGGTTCTTTGATAGCGCCGTGAAATATTAAATGCAGGAACCATTGTGACGGCACGTCAGAAGCGCTTTCGCATTTTATAGTATAAAGAAGAATAGATTACCGTATTGAAAATAACGTGTACAGATCAACTCTTCAATAAACAACCATTTTTCGTCCTCTTGGTAACAGAAGTAAGTCAATTTATAAGTTGTACAAGGAAAAATAAATCCACTTTCTTAGAACACACAAATCAGGTCAGCCAAGTTTATTTCGTAATTAAGTTTCCCATTTGCTGTCGTTCAAATAACCGTCTTCCACATGAGTAATCTTTATCAATACCTTAAAAAACCGCAGAACTATAAAGTATTGAACATTTCTGGTGACGTCACATTTGTAATTTTTATAAAGAACGACTTACCAGGGCTACGGAGTTGTTGTTCTGCTGCAGCCATCGTAGTATCGCGCTTGCGGTGGTAAAGTCAGGTCGGGGAGGCGGGGGTATAGCATGCTGCAATGAGGAGGCCAGCTGCTGTGCCAGTTCCAATGCCCGCGCCCGCGCAGCTCGCCCTGGCCCGCTCGGCGTTGTCGCCCCCGCAGCGGTGCCACCCGCTTCTGTTGAAACATTAAATATTGTTTTCAAAGATACCTTTCGATTCTCTCGCTAAGATAGTAATCTAAGCAAGTTGTTCCCTTAAAAAAAAACTATATAAGGGCGAATTTTTTGATTTGAAAAAAAAAACCGTCCTAAACCAATTGATATAAGTTAATACGAATATTTTACAAAGTTATTGGAAATACAACACAATCTAGGTCGAGCTTTCAAATTAATCAAACCGCGATGAAAGCCGATTATTCGAAATCATGAAATTAAAAGCTTGTAAAAATACCAGCGGCGATTCACAATATCGACATACGATAAAAGTCACATTTTGGTTGATAAGATAATTATCCATAAAATGAACAAATATAAAAGATTTATTTGTGTGCGATAATAGCTTTATCCTTTGCTACCTAAATAGGTTAGACGAACTGGATAAAAATTACTTCTTTGGTCTAAAAGATTAGAAAGTTCCAATCAACAAATGTGAACAGTATACCAATTGGAAGAAAATCAGAATCAAAGAAACGGATTTTGAAATTGGTTATACTAAATCAGTAGCAAAAATTTAAGGAAAGGTAAAGGTTTTGAACTAATCATATTTTTAAAGCTTAATTAGACAAGGGCTTTTTGACAACTTTCGAAAACAAAACAAAAAGCTTTCCGTCCCTGTATGACGTGGAAGCCTTCAAGAGGCCTATCATAAAATGCTAACATTAAATTGGGATTTGGAGTAAAAACAACGCAATGAAGGCAGATCTGAGAACACAATACTTCAGTTAGGTAACCGTTAAGAAAACAACAGCTGGACGTAAAAGATATAAAACTTTATATCCCCTCATTCAGTTCAAGAATATTGAACAATATTAAATGTGTACTGCAAATACTCGATCATCAACACATGCACGGACGTTTCAATACAAGCACATCGTTCGCAATGTGCTAATAACAAATATAATTTAATGCATTAAAGATAATAGAATTTTACGTAATTAAGAGAGTATTTATGTAGATTATAAATTTAGTGCTTTCTCTTTAAAGACTCTGAATTCCCTGGAGATATGAATGTTTTTATAAATTAAATCTGTATCTGATATGTAAAAACGAAGAACGCAAGTATTGTGCATATTTTTTTAGCAACTATGAGTTTGGAAAGTTACGGAATAATATAAGAAATTTGCAGTGATATATAAATGATATACAGATTTAAATTAAAACTGTACACATAAATAAAAAACCTGTGCGCAACTCAAAAGCTGATATTTATCAACACAAAACTAAAAAAGTTTATTCAACACTTCATAAAAGATTCTACAGCCAAATAAACTTTATTCCTGTTTATTTTCCAGCGAAATGATTTAAATGGCGTCAGAAAACAATGAGCTCTTTGCACTAATTTGATTACGGTCCAACAAAAATTACGTCCTAATTAAAAACTACGGGCTAACCATCTTCTAGTTGAGGCGTGTTCTAAATTAATGAAGTTAGTAAAGCGTGTCACTCGCGCTACGTGCTAATCGAGTTTTCTATATGGTGAGAGTGTGCTCGTGAAATTTTAAAATACTACAGATAAAAAAAAACACGAATTACGCAACAAACTCAGTAAAAACCTAATAAAAAATCATCTAATTGTATACCTTATATCTAAATGATTGAGCTAACAAATGTATTGCCCTAATTCTGTCAGTTTCTTTGGCAACTAAATTCATAACTTAGCCAGTAAATTCATTCCATAAAAACATTTGTATAATTTGCAAAAATCGTTTTTGTCTGCGTTATATTAACCTTAGCCTCCTTATTATCGGTATTTGGGTAATACGGCCAAAAGAGCTGATTTTTGATACAATTTCAAGGATATAAATAGATAACAGGCGCTGATGTAAACAACATTCTATGCGTGCATTTTGTATTAACAAGCCTATTATTTCACATTTCTATCTTGAAATTTGTACGATAATTATGCACACGTATCATAAACTCTCAAATATAGAACGAACAAAGACATTTCTGCCCTTCAGTTTTACAGCTTTCTAGATCATCTTCGTATTCTTCATTACTGAAGGTTGTGCTGATGTTTAAATGCCTACAATGAGGTGTCGAGCTGCCTTTTGAATGCCGAGTTCCAGTATTGATTGTATTTGGCTCACCAAATACAATGGTGTATTGGTGTAATGGTGGTCTCAACCAGTATAACATATTCCATAGCCTACATGTTCCCCGACAAATTGGCAGTATTATATAGCTTCATATAGATTCACGACTTAGCTCATTGCACAAACGGTTTAGGAGCCAAATCCGGAGGATTACCTCAACGTCGGTGGCCAACTTGCTCGACATTGATCGTTGCTTTACATTCAACTTATTTGCATAAAGTACAGAATCGTGTAAATTGCTATCTCGTTTGAATATATCTGCATATAGAAACGATCAGTTTAAGAATTAATTACTAATCTTTAATATAACATTAATGGCGGATACTATACTTTAAAACGCTAAGTTCATGCACGAGCTATCATTTATTAATATGACAGGAATAGATGTAACTATTCTAAGTCTTTATCGAATTAAATTAAAATTTACTAAGGAGGAAAAAATGTATGATTCTAATATGATTAATACAGCCAAAGAGACAAAGAAAATCTTAACTTTAACACATTTATCACATCGTCCCAAATAAAACACCTCGAAACAACTAACCTTAAAGCTTAATATAGCTGTTAAGATAAATATTTCAAACAGTAACTGGTACGTTATAAAGTTTTGAGACAAGTCGGAGATGTCAGAGATGGCGGTTACAGTTTCCAAGTTGCAAGAGTTAGTACTCTAACTGTATTTACTGACTGTACACGTGAAAGCAATGGTTTTATAATATTATTTTTATCATTCTACCGGTACTTAATGCATTGGGACTTAATACTCATTTAATATATGTATACGAAACAAAATTATTTATGATACACTTCGAATGATTCAAGAAAAAACTGAGAATCTACTTATTGAATATAAGTTTAGTTAAGTTAAATAAATTGTTGCGATTTTAAAGCCATTAATGATAAAAGACTTGGTATTAAAAAAAAATAAAGTGTAACTTCTTAACGGGCTTAATGATAATAAAAAATACAACTTTTTACACAAAATTAAACATAATTTTATAAAAAAAATATTAAAAGTAAATTTGAGTTAAAGAAAATAAAACGAATAAATGGAATATTAACAAAAGAATTACGTAACTAGATGCAATTAAAAATTATTCATAAATAAATAACTGAGAGATCTCTTCGATCCTACTTCATTCGCACAAATTACGCGGCCGCATGAATTGCATCCGAGTTGGAACAATGACTGTTTTCCTTCGGGTAGGAAAAGAAAAAAATCTCTTCATCATTTTAATTTCTTTGGCTACTATATACATATTTACTCGACCAAAGCGAGTACTATTTATCCAAAATAGGCCAATATTACGATTTTTACTTAAGATGAAAAATATTGTAGGTAAGCGTATTCGTATTGTAGATTGAAATTACGTTTTTCAACAACCGAGCAATCACTACTTAAATATGACATTCAAACTATAATATAATGTCTACTCTTTGTAAGATACGAGTCTATGTCATCACGGGCAGTATACCATGTCACCATCATCTAAGCCGCCATAAAGTTTGTATCACTACTACTAGGAAGAAAAGACATACGTTGCGGTATCTGTGAGTCAGTATCATCTCCAAAGATCCGCTGGCTGCAGACATCGAGCAGCCACCACCGTGTCACGTGCTCCGGCAGGTGCCAGCAGCCCGGCATCGTATTCACATAACACACTACACTCACACTGACAAACACACACAGGTGATTAACATTACAACAAACGATAGGTTTATAAATTAAACACTGTCCTAATAAGAGTACACGATGTCAACTTACAATCTTTATAATTATACACTCAATGTAATAACACTTTTAGGCTGCAAGCAAAAGTTCCAATTTCTTTATTTAAATATCGCATAATAGTGAAAAGATCAGAAATAAAACCACAAAAAAGTGTCTTTCAAATAAAAGATAAGGGCTTTACGCGACAAGAATATAATAGCTCATTAACTCCCCGTTTTCGAAGTGAAACGAAGGGGGCGGGTTCATGTCACGGACCTGATCAGATTATTGAGTGCGGTACCTGTTAGTAAGATGTCGACGTACGCAATTAATAAATTTAATTTGGCGTGAATGAGAAATGAGACATTATTTTTTTTAAGTCAATGAGAAGCGAGACAGTTAAGGGTGAATAAGACAATATTATTTCTTTTAAACTCACAGTATCAACTTAGTAAAGAAAAAAGTTAAAAATGAACTAGCTATCTTCTATTTTTCTTAACCTACCCCAACATTCACCAGAAATGTTGGTAGTTCAAAAAACCTAGTAGTACGAAATCCAGCGTTCATTCAATAGACCAAATAAACTTGATTTAGTCGCCATCAATCTTACTAAAAATGATGCTATATGCCAATCTTTTCATAATTTATATTTATTACCAATAAACTCACCTAATTTCGGTAGCGACATGAAAATTACAAATTTGAACAAATAAATTTCCAAACGACACGTAAAACAATGTGTATTGAAAAAACATTTTGATAATAAAACGCCTTATAAAAATTATCTTGACACAAGATTACGGGTGTACCATCGAGATAGTTCTTACAAACTTGATATAGCATTGTCACTTCCGACAATCAGTGTGTACTTTATATTGTGTAAAAATGTAAATATTATGTTACGTATTTATCTTAAATGCGCGTTAATAATAGAGCTAAAATGTACATATATGGTAATGATTTTTTTTACTTTATTCTATCTACGTTTAGTAATAGGCTTATTTTTTTACTTCATAGTCGTAATTTACAAGAATTTCTCTTAATACTTTGAAAAACAAGACAAAGCGTGCATCAATGCTTACGAAAGAATAATCATGTTAATGAAAGAAAGCAAGAAAACTGCACAAGCAAAAACATGTGGGTACTTATATCAAACTGTTTACCAGCGTGATCACAGATATTTGTGATAGATGATGAAATAAATTTCAGCTTGATACCTTCACGCGTTTTTGAGAAAAAGGGTCTTGACAGGCGGACGGACGGACAACAAAGTGATCCCATAAGGGTTCCGTTTTTTCCTATGAGGTACGGAACCCTAAAAAGATAAAAAAATAGCACAAATTCTGTCTAATGCGAAGTCACCCAGTGTCTCAAGGTAGCGTAATGTAAATTTGATTATGACGCTTGGGTCTTATCTAACTTTGCATTACTTATGAAAATAACGAGTTAATCGTCACGAAGTCACTAGACATAAAAAATTTCAAAATTTTTAATTGGGTACAACTCTAGAACAAATAAGATGAATGATTGTAATAATAAAAAATGGAAACTATAATTTAATTAATATTTTTGTTTACTTCTGCTGCGATATTACGAATAGTATATAAGATAATTGGAAATGCTATATTAAACATACAGGAATATTTAATAAATTCGTCAAAAAATCCAATATAAAAGGCACTACGTATTGCGTTGCCAGCTAAAATTTCTGTAACAAAATATAAAAAACATCGAACGCAAACCACATGCCTGAACGTTTACAATAGCACGTGTAGTCCTTACATATAGTATGTATCGTATTAATATATACGCGCGTGACGCACAGACGTCCGAACCGAAACGACGACGGCGTGCGACTACCGACACCCTCTCGTTCAACAGATTGCACCCTCTCGGGAAATACACCCCCTCACTCTTTCACAAACGGAACCACACTTTTCATTGTTAGAAATCCCTCAAGTTTTTCGTTGTTTGGAAAAAATAATATTCTTACTTTCGCATTTCACATTTTACAAAATAAGTTAAATCAATATTTTTAAAAAAGAGTACACTTTTATAGACATTACATGACACAATATTAAAATAAACATCCTGGTCATGTAGTATTGCAATGGTACGGAATGTAAAAGAAACTCATACACAGATTTATTGGGCAGGAAATCCTCTTGGGCCGATTCAAATCACCCAACTATAGGTTCATAAAATTATCTCTAGTGGTCCAGGAATAAACAAGTAATGAGCACACAAACTTTGACTAATATTTATATTGATAAAGATATTATTTAAAATGTTTAAAAAGGTGTGAATTGTGAATGTATCACTATGTAGAAATACAGCTACAAACATAGAAATACTATTTTTTGTTTTATTTATCACATTTTCTACTAAAGTTATAGTTATTAAAATTATATTTACCCAAATTAAAAAAAATATTACTGAACAGACCTCATTGATCATTATACATACAATACCATTTTATCTTACTCTTGCAATATATAATCACAAACTTACACAGACACAGTCTTTAATCTCATGAGGATATACAATAACATAGCATGTTTACATACTCTTTTCATTGTTATAATGAAAAGAGATTCCAGAGTTATTAATTACATACATCAATGAAATAAAAGTTAATGGACATACTTAGAATTAGAAATAAAGACATTTTTATTTGGTACATAAACTGGTACATTTACCTAATATGCTGCAAGGCAACAGTATGTTAATTTAAATATTGTTGGTTGATGCAAAGTTATAGTTAATTATATCATTTAAACTACTTCAAGGTTCATAAAATGGGTATACAATAATTATGAAAGAAAATTACTTCGTACATCTGTCTAACAATATAAATAGTTGGTAAGAGATAAATCAGGAAATGAAGACCCCAATACTTATTCAGGCGTGGAAAGTTTACGTAATTGTTTACTTTCACGATACAACAAGATCAAAAACATAAGCCATGTATCTTGTACTTAATCACAACTTACCGGCTATAATACCATCCATCTGGAGAAGGGCTGCCTCCAATAATTTAGCGGGATCAGATTCCGCCGATGTTGGATTATTATCGCCATCAACTAGCGTTGACTTTCCCATCTCACTTTAGTAAAAAAAAATAAACAAGACAAAGCTTCTTAATTTGGATTTTTAAATAATTATGACAATAAAAAAGATTTACTAAACAAAAAAGTTAACTTTTGGCTAACTTAGGTCAACAAAACTTTGACAAACACACACGATGACAGTGAATGAAAGTAAAGTTTGCTCATGTTTGCAAAGTAACGTTTCATTTCACAAAAAACTTTTCTAACAAATTTTGTCTTTTATTTTACATACTCTTTGGTCTTTTATCACAATTTTGATTAAAATATAATAAATATATTTTAAACAATCAAAAGAAATGAAATTTCATTAATTATTTTTTTCTTTTAAAGGCTGTGAATTGTGATTTGATCTGAAATACTAATCTTTTCTCTTTAAGTACAATTTTTGTTACTATTAAAAGTATATCCTACGCACGTTTCCTTTCTACAATTAAAATATCACACCAAAGAGTATATAAAATAAGAGACGGGACTCTTGATTAATTAGATACACAAACGGAGAATAAAAATTGTCATTTTCAATGCTAGCAATATTATGAACAAGTCTACGTTGCTACCAACCTAATAAAATTAATCTGTCAGTTTCCTTTTCGACGTTTAAAGTATTATTCGAGGGAAAACAATTTAGGAAAAATAAAACCATTTCGTTAATTGCAATGATTAATCAGTCTGGATGATCCCGACGCTGTTGCCGACTCTGTCGCCGATGTGGTGCTTCAGAAGATGGATCTTTTTATTCCGTCTTCTGTTGTGCCCATCGGGGGCAGTTCTCGGCCCTGGTTTGGTAAGTCCTGCAAATTAGCCGCGCGCTACAAGCAGGATTGTTATCGAGCCTGGGCTGAGGCGTCAGCAGCTAGGGATGTAAATACCAGCCAGCTTAAAAAGAAGTATAACTCTGCCTCCAGGTCCTTCAAAAGAGTGATTGCCAAGGCAAAGTCAGAACACGTGGCCAGCATTGGTTCTCACCAATGCTGGCCACGTGTTCTGACTTTGTGGCTCTGGCTAGTGCACCTTCCTTCGAGAACTCGCGCGTTCTGGTCTCTTGCCAAGGCTGTCCAGGGGAACTTCTGTAAGCCGTCCCTACCATCTTTAGGCAGGGGGGACGACTCGTTGGCCCACACCGCAAAAGAGAAAGCCGATCTCCTGGGCTCTCTTTTTGCGGCCAACTCGACTCTGGATGACAAAGGTAACTCGCCGCCGAAAGTCCCACGCGGCGAGACCTCCATGTCCGAAATCCAGTTTATCCAGAGATCAGTGCGAAAAGCGCTGCAATCTCTGGATATTCATAAGTCGAGTGGGCCGGACGGGATACCCCCCCTCGTGCTTAGGACTTGTGCTCCTGAGTTGGCACCGGTTTTAACGGTAACCTGTTTCGTTTCTCCTACTCCCTAGGCATTGTCCCGAAGTCATGGAAGACTGCCATTATCCACCCGATCCCAAAAAAAGGTGATGGCTCAGACCCGTCTAACTACAGGCCGATTGCCATTACCACCTTGTTCTCGAAAGTCATGGAAACGACCATCAAGCTCATGAGGTACCTTGAGGAGCACCAGCTGATTCTTCTTCTTCTTTTTCTTCTTCTTCTTCTTCTTCTTCTTCTTCTTCTTCTTCTTCTTCTTCTTCTTCTTCTTCTTCTTCTTCTTCTTCTTCTTCTTCTTCTTCTTCTTCTTCTTCTTCTTCTTCTT